CGTCCCCAGGGGTGGCAGGCCCCGGGTGGCTTTGCCTCAGCTCCTCCAGTGATGCTCACCTTAACGCCCAGTTCTCCTTTCTCCCCCTGTGGGACAGAAACAAAGAGGAGGGGGGTGTCAAAAGGCAGACACGTGGGTGGCATCCCAGGGGTTCTGGGTGGCTCACCCACCTTTTCACCCTTGACACTGCCTGTTCCTGAGTCCCCTTTCAGGCCGGGCTCACCCTTCTCCCCCTTTTCACCTTTGGAGCTGGTGCCTGCAAGGAGGGAAAAAGAGACCCTTGGGGACGGGCAGTCCCCCACTGGTGTGTCCCAGGGCAGCCACGGGGGTGCAGGAATTACCTCCTGGGGAGACCTGTCGTGTCTCCTCTGCTCTGGTCCTCTCGGCTTGCTGCGAGGAGCCCCCACTGCTCCTCATCCCACCCCCCCCAGCCACGGGGGGAGAGGTGACAGGGACAGCATCCACCAGCCCTGGGACACCCTGTGCCAAGAACAAGGGGACACCGTGTTCACCTCCCGGTGCTCCCTCAATAGGGGCAGGCACCGGGGATCCCATCCAGCACCCCAGGAGCATCAACCACGGGAGCTCCTCACCCCTCCCATCTTGGGGTCCTACCCCGGGGGCACCAACTCACCCCGTCTTTCCCCGAGGGTTGCTGGTGTCCACCTCCTGCCCCGCTGCCAAAATCGCCCGAGACCTGCGTTGTTTTTTGCCAGGGAGAAGGGGCAGCTGGAGGCTGGGGGGGTGGGGGGAGCACAGGGTGGCAGCCCCCAGCCCCCCCTGCCCCAGCCACCCTGCCAGCACCCACCTCCTCCTCCGTGTCATCCTCCTCCTCCTCGCACTGGCGCTCGGCTGCCCGCGGGTCCCCTCGCAGCTTCAGGTCAGCAATCACCCCCTGGAAGGGAACCACAGGCTGCCAGGGACGGGCAGTGCCACGGACAGACCTGTGCCACAAAGCCACCCCCCACCTGTCGTTGCCCCCCATGGACATCAGGGCGTATTTGCCTGGCCTGGAGACCACTCCCCATCCAAGCGCATCCCAGCACAGCGAGGTTCCCAGCTTGCAGCTGCCAGACAAGGGCAAACTCTTGTGCCAGCTCCAGCACAGCTGGTGAGCCCAGCAGATGCCCGTGGCCAGGATCCAGACAGACAGACAGCAACATTTTGGCCTCCTTCTCCCTACACAGAGAGCTCCCTAGACACAGACGGGCTCTCTGCCCCACGGCTGGTCCCAGCCCATCAGCACAGCCCCAGCTTTGTAGTTCTGAGGCACTTCCTCACCATTAACTGGGATTTGCAAGCACTGTGCACATCCAAGCTGCTTGTTTACACAAGAAACCACCATGAATTCCTTCCTAAGGAGGTTTTCTCCAGATGAAGCTCTGTGGCAGTTACACTGTGCAGCCCAGGAGGGTGGCATCCCCACATGGGCCAGGGAAGGTGTGTGGCTACCAACCCTATGGCTCCCACGGGAAGTGGAGTCACCCAGCAGATCTCAGAGCCCAGCCCAGGTCCTTGCTGCTGTGACAGGACGTGGGGATGCTGCCAGGATGGGATGCTGCAGGGATGGGAAGCTGCCCATCCTTCTGATCCCAGCAGGGAGGTGCTGCTGACCACGCTGGGAAGTGAGCTGGGAGTGGGCAGATACCTCCTGCTTTGCTTTGTGTCTCTTCTCTGGGTGAGACACCTAAAATAATATTTGGGCTCGCCTGAAAGCACAGAGCACCAGGTCTGGGAAAAGGGAGCTGTGCTCAGGAAACACGACGGGCTTAAGAAAACAAGAATCAGGGGCACTTGCAGTTCAGCCAGGCTGGCTGTGACATTAGGGTAAGAATCTATTATCATATCAGACATTCTAATAACATTTATATTAACATTATATAACACGTAGATAATATAACGTTACACGTTACATAATGTTACTATGATAATATATTCTAAAGAACATACATGAGAATAGAGATTAAAATATTTATACAAAGTCCTCCCACAGGCAAATGCCCCCCCCCAGGTGGGTTGTGACCTCCAGCTGTTCCCCCTGGTGGCAGCTGGAGACATCCCCCTCCCCACTGAGCCCCAGCAGCAAGCCCAAGCTTGGCTAAATGCACCACTCCAGCCTGGCCTTCCTGCAGGCATTGGAAAGAATTTGCTTCCAGCCCTGACCAAGACACCCCCAGGAGGCTGATGGCTTTGAGGGACCTTTGCAAGCACATTTGCCCACTACCATGGGTCCTACCCTGCATCCCCCTGCCAGACCCCAGCCGAGACCCCCACTTACAGCAACACCCTTGACACCTGGGGTGTCCCAGGGGTTTCTGCACTCCCTGCAGGCTTTGCCCCTCCAGGCTTCATGCCATGGACACAAAAAAGCCTGGGAGAAGCCCAGATACCAGCTGAGACCCCACCAGCTGCCCACGAGCAGCTCCTCTTGCAGCCTGACCGAGCGCCAGGTTTTAATGGGCTCGATGCCCCCGTTAGCTCCGGATCAAGTGAGTCAGGGCTGCTCAGCAGTGGGAACACCACGAGGCAGTCAGATGGCAAAGGAGACATCCAAGCCCTCACTCCCTGCTCCCCTATTCCCTCTGGGAAAGCCGGGGGCGGGCGGTGGGATGGGGTGTTTGGCAAGATGAGCAACATCACCTGCTGGAAAAGCAGGAGCACTTCGCTCCGCTCTGGGCTGGTGCTTTGCCCTCCACATGGTGCCAAAGCCTCTCCAGCTGGGGAGAGAAGTTCTTCCAGGGCCACAAACTGACTCTCAGCAGCCAAAAAAAACCAAACAAGGCTCTTCAAGAGCAAGAAGTTGCTCTTGTGACCTCCTGGGACCAACCTGAAGGGCGGCGTGAACCGGCCTCTAGCCCATCAATCATTAATCCCTTCCTGGGGGAGCTTTCCCTGCCTGAAGCCACATAACTGGGCCTGCAGGAGTGCTGCTCGTTGGGTAAGGTGATGTTGAAGCTCAGGAAGGTGCTTTGCAAAGCTCCCCCGGGAAAAGGCAGAGCCCCCTGTTGCTGGGCAAACCACGCTCAGCCCAGGGGAAACCGGCTGGTGCAATCCTGAGCTTCCCTCTCCTCAAGCACAGCAGGGGATTTCCACATCAGCTGGACATTTTCCCCACACTTTCCACAATCCTTATCTAGGAAGTGTCATGTTCAAATCACAGGCTGAGCTATCACCTTCTCCCCTTCCTCTCCAAAGTCTTCCTGCAGATCCATCAGCCAACAAAGATACGCTCCAGCCCAAGCATTTTTTCCCAGTTAAAAGAGACATTTTGCAGCCAAACCAGCTCCTCCACCCAAGGAGTTGGGTATTTTTAGCAATGGGGAGATTCAAAGAGGTTCCCTGTGTTTGCTGGGAAAGGGAAGGGCAGCAGTGGCTGCTGCAGTGCAAACCCATCTCTTCCTGCCAGCCCACCTGGAGAGCTTTGCCTTGGTGAGACCCAAGACTGTTCACTGGCCCAGGTTGCCCAGGGAAGCTGTGGCTGCCCCATCCCTGGCAGTGTTGAAGGGCAGGTTGGATGGGGCTTGGAGCAGCCTGGGCTGGTGGGAGGTGTCCCTGCCCATGGAAGGGGGTTGGAACTATGTGATCTTTAAGGTCTTCCAACCCAAATCTACGATCCTAAGACAAGTTGTTTCCCCCCAGGAACACGCACAGAGTGTCACCACTCATTTGCCTTCTGGGCAAAGAGGCTGGTTCCACAAGCACAGGCTGGTGTCACATTCTAACCCATCTCACCCGAGCTTCCTGAGGACACACCTTGGGGTGACCTGAGGCCTTACCTGATATTTATCTGGGTCAGCCCCTCCAGCTTGAGCAACGAAGAGCCCGGAGCCCTTCTGCAGCTCCATCTCATCCGGGGAGCGCTCGAAGCGGACTCGCTCGTGCTCCTCACAGTCCAGGTAGAGGGTGACCTCCTCCTCCTCCACGCTGATGGCAAAGCGTGTCCACTGGTTGAGCAAGGTGGGCACAGTGAAGGTGGCTGCAGCATAGGAGCTGGAGGAGCCCGGCTCTGTGTAGTAGAAGATGATCTGCTGCTTGCCCGCCCGTAGCTCCGAGAGCTTGACCCCCACGTAGATGATGCTCTGAGAGGAGTCCGTGACAGCAAAGAGGACCCCAGCCCTGGGGGTGGTGGGTTGGATGTGGAACAGGAGGGAAAAGTCCCGGTAGAAAGGGTTGGGCAGGTGGTACCGGGCCACCTGCCCCGTGTTGGCGTTGGGGCCGAAGACGTAGCCGGGGTTGTTGTCGGGGCCATAAATCTTGAGGATCTCCTCTGGAGGGGGGTCTCCAATCAGCTCCAGGAGGCTGACCTCAGTGCTCGGGTTCTCTGCAACAGGAAGGGAAAGGGGACAGTCACAACCGGCTGGTCGCTCTCAGCAAGGTGCCCTGGGGACACACCACGGGGCTCTGCTCTTCCACGGCTTCTTCCCCTTGCCCTCCCCGGCACCTGGAATTGTCCTTCAGGCTGAGGGTTGGCCAAGGCAGCAACGCTCCTTGAGCTGCTTCCACTGCACTGTTTGGATGTGACTGCCAAAATGCCACCCGTTCCCTGGCCCTGGACCTACAGCTGCAGCTGGGACACCCTTGAGATGGGATAAAACCAAAGGGATAGTGCCCATGGCAGCCACGTGCCCGCGAAGGCAGCAGGAGATGCTGCCAAAGCACCAAGATGCTCAACAGCCACGGAGATGTGAGGAAGCCTGTTGCATCCATACCCACTCTGGGCTCATGGTGACCCCTCAATGTCACCCTGGGACAAGCTCACAGGGTCACCCCAGCTGGGAATAAATCAGAGCCATCCCCTTGCAAGCACCCTGGGAACGGGGCTCGTGCCGGCGCGCTCCGTGAGCTTCCCAGATGATCTCAGTTTGGAGCTCAGCTCCTTCCCTCACTCCTCTTTCTCAAGGCACTTTGGGGAAGCTGTGCTCAGGACAGTCTCTCCTACCCAACACAGTTGAACATCTGGCCGGGGTGAGGCAGCTCCCTGCGAGCCAGCTCCCGTTGTTCTGGCAGCAGGCACATCCTCATCGCCCACACACCGGGCGCTGGATTCCTCCCCTCCTATGTCAACTGCTCGGGCTGGTGCCAACTCGACGGGTGCTTTTTAACTCTGAGCTGCCCGGGGGCAAGGAAACCCAACCACCCCAGGCTTTTGCACCAGGAGCAGATGCTCAGTGCTGATTTCAGCCTCGTTCTGCATCAGGAGCAGGAGCTGAGACAATTTAATGAGCCCCAACTCAATCCCTGGTGTTTCACACGAGCAATGTGTGTGTGTGGGGGGGAATGTATCAGGAGTGTCCTGACTCCAGGAGGACCAGACAGGAATCTCCACCCTGCTCTGGAGCCAGGCATTGTCCTCCAGAGCTCTTAAAAAAAAACCCCAAAGAAACCAGCCCCAGCCTTGTCCAGCCTGGGAGGAAAACACGTCTCTTGGGATGGCAGGAGAAGATCAAAACCTGGGTGCCTCTTCCAAAGCGTGGGGGTACCCAGGCATGCAAGCATCCCCAGCCTCCCTCTGCCACCAAGCCCCAGTGCCAGCCCGAGCCCCAGCACCGTGACAGGGACCCAGGCAGTGGTGATG